AGCCAAATTGGCTCCATCCACTCTATATCTGTTCTGTTCTTCCATGGCGTTGCCTCCACTTGAAAGGATTCTTTCCCATTTTGACCTGTCCAGAATTCCTTCCATGGGTCTAAGTCCAACTCTTAGGTTATATTCTTACGTGGCCTTCCTTCTTTCTCTTTCAGGTATATCCCAGTGACTTTCTGCACTTTTTAATTTACCTCCCAACACTCTACCTGGCATTGTAGATGCCTGTACGCTTGTCTTTACTATTAGATTGTATGAAATTAGTTTGCTCAAATTAGTTTCATTGTAGTTATTAGATTTGGATGGGTTTATATCACTACTGATAGTACTTATGACATTATTACTTCTTTCATTGGTATTTTATTCTATAGGGACTAAATGAAAAAATGTGATTGTAATGTATCCATTTTTATGGCAGAGTTAATTTATAGAATTGTGACAGTGAAGCCTGATGTAATCAAGCATGAAAGGAAACTCGCTGCTCACTTTCAATAAAATAAGAGCAGCACTTTCCAAATGGTCTCAGTAAGATTGGCTATATTGGGACAAAGGATCATGACTTCATTCTTACTAGCCTCAGAAACATAATAAACTACCGTCCGTTTTGGCATTAATCCAATTTTACCATTAACTTTTTCATAAATTTTGATTAAGGAGCATGGTAAGACTTGCAATTAAGGGAAGTGCATTAGAAATTCATTTCCTGTCCACAGTTTGTCATATTCTGAAAAATACTGAAATTCTGTGAATACCTGCAAACCATAGGGATGGTAAACTATCTGGCTGAACCCGTATGTGTGTGTGTGTGTGTGTGTGTGTTCCTGATGGGGAGTACCTAAAATTAGCTGCAGCCTCAAGTCCAAGTTTTTATTTTAAGAAGTAATTGACTAAAGTATTTGTTGGCTGTGTAAATTTCATAAGAGTAACAAGGTGGCCATATTTCATGGTCATTTTCTCTAAATGTCACCGGCTCACAGATGTATTTTATAATAATTTGTTGCTTTTTATAATCATTTGTTAACAAATAATTAACTACTTGCTCAAGTCTGAATCAATAACATATCTAACTCTGAATTTGTAGTTGGCCTTTCTCTTCTAAGAGTATTTTCCAGGATGCGGTTATATCACTTGATTTTTTTTTTCTATTTTAATTCTGCTATATAGCAGCTTAGGAAAGATAAGATTGTTTCTGAATAAGGTTTCACTCGATGTGGGCACTTATTTATTTTAAATCTATAAAAGTTATTTTTCTACTGATTCTCTTCATCAAATATGTTCGTTAGAAGATGTTGCCCCATTGAAAAGTGGAAGATTTCTGCCAAGTCAATTTTCATGAATGTAGCAGAATTAGATCAACATGATCCTCCTGTTAACTTTTCTTTTTAAGGCACATTTCTTTCAGAAAGCAGGTAGAGTGCCCAGTGTGGCCAGCGGTGGTGGCAGGCTTCAGTAGTGAAGTTTTCCTTGGTGTCCTAATGATCCCTGGATTGCTTTTATAGAATATTTTTCTCCCCAGACTATTCAGGGTAGGGAAGAGCTGCCGTTTCCACAACCAGTGCACCCGAGTAAGCCATTTAAATGATACTCTTCAACTTTCACCCAAAAAAGTTTCCTTTCTTTTGAGAACTGAACCTCTATTTGTGCGGTGATTGCAGAATTATGTAGATGCCAAATATCTACCTTAATTTTCATTTTCTACATGGATCATATCATGTTTGAGATGGCCTTAGGGGGAAACTGGACACTTTGGCTTAGATACCTCCTACTGTGTGCACTTGAATAATAGTTATTGCATAAGCCCTGTTTGCTGACCACAGTACCGACCACTACATATTCATTGATTAATCTTCAACATTATGCTATCGATATGCAGGGCAATTTTAATATCCAGTATAAAAATGAGGTGCTTGAGACCCTGGGGGGCTAAATAATTCATTGACTTGTGTGCTCTTTTTCTACCAAGCACACATGAGGAGGCATGAGGACATCTGATTAGGTGTCTGTGTGGCTTCCAGCTTTGAAACATTACCTACCTCTGTTCTAAATGTATAGTGATGCTGGATAAAATGTGAATGCAGAAAATGTAAAAGTCACAGCTGAGGTCACAGTTTATCATCTCAGTGACCCGTGAATGGAAAGGAAATGTGAGCAGTTCTGTGTTGAGACCTCTGGCTTGTTGACCTCTGGTGGTAGACAGAGGGTTCTGTACAACTTCTTGAGGAAACTGAGGAATTAAAGTCATTCCACACTAGGTAGAGATCAAGAGCCATCCTCACAGTTTAAAAGCAGGGTGTAGAGAAGGACTCTCCCACTTCTGAGTAAAGGATGAGCTATCTGTTGTCTACGGCTGCCAGAGACTATAGCTTTTATGGACTAGAGATGGAGAAAGAAGCGGACATGGCCATTAAACTAGGAACTAAACTGGCTCATGATGTGACTGGTAATAATCCAGATGTCTGCATAATGTGATCCTCCCGTCGCCAGTACGAAACTGTTTACAGATGGGGGTTCTGGGCACCACATGAGCACAGAATCATTTGTAAGAGAAAGATGATGAGAGATGGGGATGGAGCTAAATCAAAGTAATAAATAAAACTAAATTAAAAATCCTCCCACTTCAAATGAACTTGCAAAACAAAATCCCAAAGAACATGAAGAAGCCTAACACTAAGAAAGAGCCAACGAAATTTCCACTGAAAACAAATTTGACTCAGAAGAAATTAAAATGTTGAAATAGCCTGGCAAAATATATTTTAGATGTCCAAAGTATAAACAAAGGATTGCAGCCCATCAAAAAGGTAGACAACCTTGAAGAAAAAGAAAGCCAGTTATCCATTTATTTATTTACTTACTTATTATTTTCTGTATCTATTTTTCATTGGATTCTTTGGGGGAACATTGGCTAGTACAATTATATAGGTTTCAGATATACAAATCTACATACATCATCTGCATCTGGTATTGTGTGTTTACCACCCCAAATCAAGTTTCCTTCCATCATCCTTTATCCCCCCATACCCTGTTCTACATCCCTCCCCCTCGCCCCCCGTTCTCTCTGGTAATCACCATACTATTGTCTGTCTATGAACTCTTTTGTGTTTGTAATCCCTTCACCTTTTTCACCCAGTTACTTATTTACATTTATTAAGTCCACACTGTGTTCCACACACTGTTTTAGGTGCTAGAGAAGCAGCAATGAACAAAAGTAAACCCAACCCATCCCCACAGGGAGAGTTTACATTCTCGTGCATTTAGTGGTAGAAATGAAATAAGATTAGGCAGAAATCTTGGAAATGAAAAGATAATCATGGAAATAAAGTTCTCAGAAATGCTAAACTCCATACTTGACTGCTTTTTTCACTTGGAAGATATTACTTAGTAAATCACCTAAAATGCAATAATTGCAAAATAAAATCTTTAAAAAAAAAGTGTGCACGGTTTAGTATCTCTCTGTGTGTGGAGAGAGAGAACATGAGATCATGTAAAAAGATAGTAGTTGAGATTATTTTAAAATGGAAGATAAGACTCTTCAAGTTGAAAGTGCACTTTAAGATTCTGTCTGGATAAATAAAAATAAATCAATGCCTAAATATTTTGTGGTCAAACTTTAGAATACCGAGGATAAAAAGAAAGTCTTAACTTATGAGAGAAAAAATAGACTAGGACCAAAACAAAAACAACTAGTTTGAGAGCAGACACCAAAGCAGTACTGAGGGGGAAAAATGTACTGTCGATCTAATCCTAGAACTCTGTGTCAGAGCATACCACTGACGGATGCTGACCAAAATATTCACTGAACAATCACCTTCTTGGGGAAGTAAGCCTAGAAAGGAAGTGTGGATTTAAAGGGTTGGGGGGTAGTAAAGAAAAACAGCTATTCTTTGGTGCCTCCATTTAGGCCAACCATATGGGTGACCTTTAAGTGTGGAAGTAGTAAGTGCCAGCTTTGGGTGGTGCTGCCCTTTGTGAGGGAGAGTTTTGGACCAGATGGGAATGGAGAAAGGTGAGCAACAAAGGGCTTATCTGCACCTGTCAAGTTCCTTTTCTTTTTAAGGAGAAGCAAAGTGCAAAATGCTAACATAGTTAAAGCATGGTGGTGCATGCAAGGGTTTTCACAGCGTTCACCTAAGTGTGTACCTGTATAACTGAAATAAAAAGGTACTCAGAACTGCAGGAGAACATGACCTTTTAGGCACAGCAATCAGTTTATAAAACAGCCCGCCGCCTGGTAATGGGACCAGTTAACCCCTTCCCCGGCAGAAACATGTATACACGTTTTCACAAAATGTTCTTTTTCAGTCGTCGACGAGTATACTAAGAAAATATGGTAAAAAAAATATGGTTGATAGGAAGACGAGTTACAAACTGTTTTCATAACCAGCATCAAAAATACTATATAGAACCAAAATAAAAAAATTAGTCTGAAAAAGAAACGTTTTTAACAAAAAAATTGTTGGGGAAGGGGTTAAAACCCAAGTCTTCATCAGGGCTCGCAGGGCCCTACAGAGCCTGCTCTTCCAGCCTCTTCCTAAGCTGCTCATTCATTCATTCTGACCGAGCTCCAGCCGCATGGCATTTCTCTGTATCTCACACAATTCCAGCTCGTAACAGCAATCCTCTTCTCATAACAGCAATCCTCTTAGAGACTTCTTATTTCCTTCGGATACTGGGGAAAGCCTAGAACTCTTTAAAATAGCTTAAATTCCTTTGATCTTGCTCTCCATCCTGTGCTCATAGTAGATATTGACTCAAACAGGTAAATGAGACTATTGTCATGGCACTTGATGGACATTCCACGTCTGTCTTTATAACACTTTGTCCTGAGCTGAACACTTCCCTGGGTTGCTTCGAAAGTGCTGTGTACCCAGGACCAACAGGCAGCTGCGGGATTCAGGATGAGGGAATAATTTGTCTGTAGACTTGTGTACCGAGCACACTCATGCATTTTAATTTCTCTCACAATGAATGATACTTTATTCTTTGGATTCTTACAGGGCATTTTACTTGGACAAGTCAAATTCGCCACCCAACTCCACATCCAAGGCTGCCTATGTTGATAAGGTACAAATAGAGGATAGCATTTATTTATGCTTTATCATTTACATAGCTCCCTTCCTCAATTTTTCTGCTATCTGTTGTTTTTGCAGTCTCCAATTTTGCTAACTCCATAATAAAATAGTTTGGACTATTCATTAAAAGTTATAATAGTTCTGAATTATATTCCAGCTAAAAAGATTTCTTAAAAAAGAAAGACTCCTGGACAGACAACAGTATGGTGATTGCCAGAGGGAAGAGGGGCTGGGGGGAGGTAGAAGAGGGTATGGGAGGATAAATGATGATGGAAGGAGACTTGACCTGGGGTAGTGAACACACAGTTCAATATACAGATAATGTATATTGTATACCTGAGACCTTTTTAATTTTTTAAACCAATATCACCCCAATAAATTAATGAAAAATAAAATTGATAAAAGGATTTATTTCCACTAACCATGTTGAACTTTATGTTCATCCCTTTGTTCTATAGCTCCTGAGGCCTCTCAATGCCCTGGATGAACTTTACCGCCTGGTAGCCTCGTTTATCAGGTCCAAGCGCACGGCGGCCTGTGTGAACACGGCGTGCAGCGCCTCGGGCGTGGGGCTGCTGTCCGTGTCGTCGGAGCTGTGCAGCAGGCTGGGGGCCTGCCACGTCATCATGTGCAACAGCGGTGTGCACCGGTACGTGAGCGTCCCTGGGGGCTGCACTGTGCCCACTTTCATTTAGTAGTTCTGGTTTACACTTTAGTGACAGGAAATTATAACTGGTAGCATTCAAAGGACAAATGTATTTGGGAGAAGATTTCGGAAATTAGATAATTCTTACACAGTACTTCCTGGTTTTAGTTCCTATCTGTATTTTCTGTGACTATCCACACAAATGAATACAGTCCCACATTTCTATCATTGTAGCCCAGAATATTTTCACCCTTTTATTTATATTATAATATTTATACTTTAGGTACAGAGTTATTCATTGACCTTATTCACTGTAGGAACTTGGTTGGTAGGACACTTTTCATTGCATTCGGTGGACATTCCACTGTTCAGTGTTTTAGATCCCTATTACACAATTATTGTGAGCTGGATGCAGTCTTGGGGTTACTACCATCTTCCTGCTCCTGGCAAAGTAATAGTCTAAGAGCTCAGATAGTATGTTGTTCCTGAAGATATAAGGGGACACCCAGATGGGTCCTAGTCAGGTGGTTTGTCTTCGGCAACTGTGCTCTGTGTGAATTCATACGGCTACATCAGATGCAGAAGGTGAGCGGACAGCCTCAAGTTAAGTTCTTTTTTATAAGTATGTGTTCCTCTTCTGTCATCCTTCCATTTTCACATGGAAGCGAAACCATGTAGGTGGGAAAATAGGGAAAAATTTAGTTCTCATTGTCATCGGAGTGGGCAGAGAACCTTCTGTCATCTGTCATTGTCTCTTCTTAGTTTTAGGCCCGTTAGATTTGAGGATGGTGGTTATTATTTATTTAAATGCACTTGGTACTTAACTCATGTAATGGACTGCAGTTGGTGCTATTGGCTGTGTAATAAAGTGGTGATGCTCATGTTAGAGACATAAAGTATGAACAACAAACAACAGAAAATAATAACAAAATTAATAATAATAATAGTATAACATATAGCAAGAACAATTAAAAAAAACACAAACACAAGTAAATCTGTACTGCTTGTGTACAGAAAATGTAAATGACCCAGGAAAGTTATCCATAAAACATAAGATCTCTGTGATGGTTAGAACTGGGAAGTTTCCATGGAGAAGCTGATGGTTGAACTGGGTTTTGTTGCATCAGATTGAAGAGGTAGAAAAGGGGAGAAAGATGATTCAAGGCAGCAGGTGCTCATGTGTGAAATTCCATTTGACTTGGTATGCCTGAATTCTAGTTTTCAAGTCCTACACGGCATGTTTTAACTTATGCAATATGGCAAGACTTGATTTTTCTGGAAGGAACATTACATTTTTTTGGTTGATAGAATATACAGAATTTCCCTCTTTATTTTCATTGCCATGTATTTTGTGCTCTATTGCAAGCTTACTAAGAGATTAATTGAAAATGTTGTCTGTAACTGAATATATAAAATTAGTTCATATTTTTTATAGCAGAAAAATTATCTCTCCTTTATGATCAACTTGTGTTCATTCATTCTGGTCCTATTAATTCACTCATTATTCATTCACTCAACAAATATGTATTGAACACCCATTATGTGCTAGCACTATTTTAGTGGCTGGGGATACAGCATTGAAAAAATAAAGACCCTACTCTCACATAGTGTTCATTGTGTGGGGGAAAACAGGTAGTAAAGTAAACAGGTAAATATGTAATATGATAGGTGAAATAAATGCAAAAAAGATTAGAAGTCAAAGAGGTAAAAGTTGATGGGCCGGGAAGAAGAGGTAGTGCCTTCTGAAGAGGTGATTTCAGTAGAGACCTGTATGAACTGGAGTGAGTTATGCGGATGTCTCCGGAAAGGGCATTTGGTCATGGTAGGGAACAGCCATGCCCATGTGGGAGCTCATGTGGCAGTGTGCCTGGTGTGTTCAAGGAATGGCATGGTGGCCTCAGCCACGTGTCATCACCTTGAGCATTTGTGTTCTATTCTTATCCTGGTGCAATATCATAGTTATCTGAGGAATGGAGACACTATGACAACCTCCACATTAATTTACTGAAAATGAATACAATTAAATTTGTCATTTAATCTAAGAACCATGACCAAGTTGTCCAAATTATTCTCAGATATTCCATGAGCAATTGAGAAATTGACTGATGTTGTTTAGGAGAAAAGGATTGATGTCCCACAACTATTTTACAATTGCTGTATTCATTGAAAGGTGTGTGAATCACAAGTAATATTGGGATTTTAAAGTAGTTTGGCCTTTTCCATTTCTACAATTCAAAATAAATATAGTTTTGGTTAGCTCATTCTGGAGACATTTACTGAAGTGTGGGCACAAATGCCCCATGACAGAGGCTGAACGGAAGGTCAAAACTATTTGAAAATGGTATGGTTTTGTTTTTCCATGACGCAGAATAAAATGAGACTTTAATAATGTCTTTAGTCTTTTAGTGAAGGCTATGCTTAGACTTTTCATGATGGTAAATGTGCAGTAATTTATGTTGGAAACAGAAATTCCACATAAGACTGGTTCTAAAATAATTGCCTTACTAGTTATAATCCAGACAGCTGGAGAGGAACTCAGGTAGATCCGCACCTGCACTGCCCTTAGACATGGATCCAACATAGGGGAGAAGTTCACAGTGGGAGAATAAATATTCCACACACCTTTTATCATTTACTTTTAAAATCAAGATGAGAAATTGTCAACCCTATGATATCCACATTAGGTAGTCAGTTTTCCTTTTCTGAAATATTTTTAAAGGATTGCAGTATACTGCATATGTTTCATATTAAAGAGGAGAATGTGGTTTCCCAGTATGAAAAGGCAGACTTAATTAGCATTAATGTCTAGGTGTTTCAGTGCCATTCTGAATTAGATGGCAGAGCTGCGTACAGCAATGAATGTGAGATTAGCTGGACAAAAATTCAGGATGAATGATTAAAATCCACTCACAGCATTTAGCCTGGCTTTGTTTTTATTAAATTCTCTTTCCCAGGGTAGTCCTTTGCATGAGTTACAGTTCCACTGATGAACTTTCCGGCCCACAGTCTCTTCATTGCTTTCAAATAGTGGAAGAAGAGGACTGTCTCTTTTTAAGATCAGGTTTTGCCTCCTTATCAGTATAAACATGTTACGAACAGGTAGTTTAATAATAGAAAATTCCCAGAATTTACCATCTTGACATGCTTTATTTTCATTTTATGTTATCTCTTGCAATTTATATCAAGCAACACACATTTGAACACAATGTTATTGGTATATATAGTTTAACAATCTGCTTTAGGTTCCTAGCAACTATATGTATCTCCAAAATGTATGCATCCACTTTCTCATTAACACTTTTGTTTGTTACATAACATTCCAACTAGTTGTTATACCACAGTTTACTCAACTACTGTATTATTTTGGTGATTTCTCTTTTGTATCCTTGGCACATCAGAGGCATCTTTCTTTATGTAGTTGACCATATTTCAATTTTATTTCCCATTAAGCCAAAAGAAGACAAAAATATCCTCTAGGTGGAATTACTGGCGTTTAAACCTCTGCTTTATATATTATTGTTCAGGTTCCAGAAGGACTGTCCTCATGCACAACACAACCAGGCCAGGTGGTCGTGGGGCCTGCCCCCCTTTACCTTGCTTAAAGAGGGTACATATCATGCTTCTCTTCCAAATGGGCACTGACATTTCAGCAGTGCTTTCATTTACACTCCTTGGTTTAACAAGTACAAACATTTGAAGATCTTTTGAATTTCCTTTTCCACCAAGATTTATGCTACCTATTGTCCAGATGCATGCCTTACAGCAACTTTACCTTATGCCAAAGTGAGTGTTTTTAACTTTTTGCTAAAGTGAATATTTTTAAAGTATGGAATCAGCACTGTGGCTGTTAAAGTTCCCTTTTGTCCTCCTGCCAGTTATCTGTTGCAGGCAATCCAGAAGCATGCCATGGGGATTTCTCCGTGTCCCTTTGATTTCATACTGCAGCAGCCTTCCGTTCAACGCGGTATTTCATTTTGGTTTGGTTCTTTATTCCCACACCTGCTTACTAGCCAACTGGTTTTCTTTAACTGATAAAAATCAGTATGCGCACATGTTATAAAACCCGAGGCATGAGTCCTAGTGTGTCCAAAACCAAAGACGCCCTTTTTCTCCTGCTCCATCAGCTTCAGCTTCCTGCGCCGTGGGAACCAGTGGGTGGACATTTCCAGAGGCTACCTGACAAGATGTGTCAGAGAAATTTCTAGTGAGGGCAAGAAATCTGGAATGATTTTTCCCCTCTAAGGACTGACTCCAGAGGGTTTTGTCCACACTCTCTGGTTTATTACCCATGGGGTTTGGGTGGTGTCAGAGCCCTGGGCTGGCCCTGGGGGAAAGGGGTCATCTGAACACAGTCTCATGTTTCTCACTCGCCCATGACGTCTGTGAATTAAAACTTTGGAGGCTCTGTGCTCATAAGTTACCTTGTGTCTTCATGCTTTGTTGAGGGGGTGAATTTCTCCCGGAAATAAGGTCCTGCATTTTTTACTGACATCCAGTCAGGCTTGTGAACAGCATCACCAGGAGGGGGTCCGCACATCAGGGACTCACCAGCCTCAGTCAGCATCACCACTATCTTCCATTTAAAACCACATATCAGAGTGGGAAAGAAACATTCTGTGGCGACACCATCAAGCTGGCCATCATCTGTGTATTCCAGTGTTAGACTGCTTTTTCTTTAATATGTTGTAGAAATTAACTTGAACATGTATAAAGTTTAGGAACTACAGGGATATAGATATAGAGATTAAGGGTAGAGATATATGACATTTCTAACTTCAAAGGGGTCTACACTGAGTGGCCAGATTATTATGACCACCCCATCAGTACAATGAAGTGGATTAGTTATGCAAATAATAATAATCTACTATACCAATAAAAGAGAAACATGCAAATTGGTGTCACTCCGCTACGCCCACCAGCCAATCAGGATGAGTATGCAAATTAACCCAATAAAGATGGCAGTTAATTTGCATATGCAGGCATGGAGTGAAGACTGGAGGCAG